ATATATATATATATAAACTCGATTTCAATTTACGATTCGTCCTATATATCATCATTTCGCGGATAGTGTTATCCATCATGCAATGACGATAAAACTCACTTTTTTGTTCTATTTACCATTTAAATTAATTTTTCACATAGTTGCCATATCACGGATGATTTTATATTATCAAATTCGATAACTTTGTCTTTTCGATATATATATAGCCATTTCTCGCATGATTTTATAATTCTCTTTCAACCACAATGCTTATTTTTGTTAAATTTTATTCAACAAATAATACATCTAAACCTTATCATATAGAAAGCATGATGTTTGATAACATGTGCATTTAATGTATGTAGCGATATTCCTATAAATATGCATATTATCGAGCAGGTGCTATATTTATATATGAAAGATTTACACCGAATGATAAATTACACATTTTAAAAGTCATGTACATTGTTATTATTATCATCGTCATTTTAGCGTCGTAATATGCAACTGTTTGATATCAATTGCCGCATTATCTGCCAAATAAGCGGGTAGAGCAAATCGAGGATACGGAAAAAAGAGGTAATCATCTTCGATACTTTGGAAAAGCCACGTGCAATCGTGGACCATACGGATGTCATAAATTATCCGAGCATAAATTAACCGGGCTTGTTTTGTCTGAGATTTATTTTAGTATTTGTTAATATTAGCAATTTGTTAATATAACCCTGCACCGGTTGTAGCTGTGTGTGTTCGCATCACCCTTTTTCGCGAACCTTCTTTTCAGTTCTATCCACGTGCTATCCCTGTAGCTTAATTTTTCGATCGAGGAGATTAATCCTTTCTTTTCTTATCAGCGAAAGTTTGAAGATTTGTTGTCCGATCGCGGCCAACATTCCTTCAGTTTTGATGTAACAGTACTATATTTTCTATAGTTGTAAACACCAATTACACAGAAGGTATTTTATATTTCATAAATTATAATTATTGATATCAAAGATTGCTACGATTTTGAAATATATTATAAAGAATAAAGTATCTCACGAGCATAGCTCATAACTTGATTAAATCTAGTGAGAAATAATAATAAAAAGTACATTATAATTGAATAGATTCAATTCAGGATACTTTTTACTCTATATATTTCAAAATTAGAATAATCTATGTGAGAGATATAAGTTAATATTTATAACTATATATAAAAAAATACAACAGTTAAATCACAACATTAGATTGTTTATAATACGATACAAATGATTTGATAGCTTTATCAATTCCTAAGAGAATTTGTGGCATCTTCAAAAACAGTATTTAGATATACTAAAATTTGAGGTGGACTAATTTGACATACAAAACTCTATCATCAAATCAATAACCGTTAGTGACTGCTATTTAAATTTAAATTATTCAATTACATCATTTATTAAAATTTTGCTACATAATAAATTAAGCGCAATGTCTTAATACGTAACGAAAATAGTTGAAAATTTCTAGAGATGAAAAAATATGACAATTTTTGTTCACAGATATTATTGAATAAAATACAATATCTTTTCGATATTCTTAAGCAATATTTAAAAAATAATAATAATTTTTCTCGCTCGATAATTTCTGTAATAATGAATTTTATCCTAGTTGTGCATGCAAGTATATTTTGGAATATCTCTTAGATGATTATTTTCAACTTTAATTGTCTTAAATTTTTTCTGTAGAGTTTCGCCATATGTCAATGTAAACCATACAGCATTTTTCTCGATAATGGTCGCAGTAATCATCGATCTGCAGAGGCACTGTATGTATATTCGGCCTAAATTTATATTGAGAATATCATGACGTTTTGCGAACAGATGCATAGCGTTTGTCGAAGAGCTTGCAAAATGCAGAGAACGAATGCAATACATAGCGAGCCAGAGCGCGAATAACGATGACAGTGCGGCTGCGTTGGTGACGCTTGACCCGTTTAAAAAATATCATCTCCCTCACATCTGTTGAGCGTTGCTGAGACGATGAAAGAGAGAGAGAAAGAGAAAGGGCCATTGCGAAGCAGTCTGCGAGGAAACGTCATTTTTTAATGCTCTTTTTCAGCAGCGACGAGACGCGTGGGCCGGCGATTAAAACGCTCTGTCGCAACTGACTCCAGTTTGTGCGGAATGTAAATTCGCATAATGCACATGTCGCGAACTAATTTTATAATGGATCTTTTATTAAGATGTATTATATATATAAAAGTAAATGTCAGTTATATACGACTAC